TTTGTTATTTTCAAAAGTAATTGCTACTGCAATTTTGTGTCCCCTGCTGGGACAAGCATTTGCAGATAGAGAATTACAGGCAATAAAAAAGGTTCTTTATTGCAGTATGCACAACTAAGCCAAACTCACAACAAAAATAAAATGTAAATTAGAGAAGCAGGTTTACTGGAGTAATATAACAACACGGTAAATTTTACAGAAACCTGAATACAACTGATCAGAATTAAAATGCTTCGCAGAATAGAAAAGTGTACTCCAATGCCCAACATTGCTAATCAAACTGTTCAGTAATTGAGCTTTAAATCGAACCCAATTGAACTTAATCAAACTATTGGGTTCAATCAGTTCAATACTTGAAGAAAATCGAACCAAGTTGAAAAAAAATTATGTGAGGGAGTTCGATTGTGTAGTAATAATACTAACAATAATAATAATAATAATAATAATAATAATAATAATAATAATAATAATAATAATATATTTTTTTAATTCTATGGGTAAGGTGCACATTGTGGTTTATGTTTTTATTTGTACATTATTTTGCAAATTTGTTTCTTATAATGTTATTTTTAAACTTGTAAATATTTTTTTTGACCAAGGCTCCCCTGGCTGGATGTCTGGATCAGTGAAAAGCAGTGATTTACCTTCTGCTGTGGCCAGTCAGATTCATGAAAGACACAATTATCAGAGAGAGGACACTCAGCGTAAGTTGCCGAAGTAATTATGATAATGTGATGTGTACAATTGCAAGATTACATAACAAACAAGTAAAAACCTTCAGTTAAAAATCATCTAGCGTGTACATGTACAATATTGTTATTTGCAACCACAAAGCAGTATTTTTAAAGCATTTCTCTCTATGTTTTTTTTAAGGTTCCTTTGGTCATAGTGGGCCACCTTCATTCCTGAAATACTGTCAGCCACCTTTTCCTGCAGGCCCTCAGACTCAAGCTCAAACTTATCAGACAAGTCACCCTCAGAGTGAGTGGGAAAACATATTTTTTAAAAATAATATTACCACAATTTTCTGTTGTATAGTGTAAGGTCTGTATGGTATAATTAATTTGACTGCTGTGTGGATCAGTTGAAGGCAGTAATTTAACTTCTGCCATAGCCAGTCAGATTCATGAATGGCTCAATTATGAGGGAGGACACTCAGAGTGAGTTGAAGTAATTCTAATTTGTCTACAATATTGGAAAATGACATAACAAACAGTAATTATTTGCAAATTTATTGTAGTTATTCAACCTGAAAGGCCATGCACCTTGTTCTACAAATTCTTTAGCACATTGTAGGCACAAAGCAGAATTTTAAAAGTAATAAACTCCTTTTGGTTTTCAAAGGCTCCTCTGGTCATGGCAGGCCACCTTCATTAGTGGAACACAAGCAGTTGCCTTTTCCTGCAGTCCCTCAGACTCCAGCTCAAACGTATCAGACAAGTCACCCTCAGAGTGAGTGGGAAAACAATGTATTACTGCAATTTCCTGTTGCAAGCTCTGTATTGTAGAATGATTTTGACTACTCGCTGGGTCAGAAGAATGCAGTCATTTGAGTTGGAGTAATTATAATAATCAGACAAGTTTACAATATTATTGCAAATTTACAGAACAGACAATCATTGCTTCCATCATTATTACCATTACTCAACCTCAAAGGCCATGCACTTTTTTAAAAAAAAAAAAATTACAAATTGTTTAGCACATTGTAGGCACAAAGTAGAATTTTCAAAATATTAATTAATAACTCCTTTTGGTTTTCAAAGGCTCCTCTCATCATGACAGGCCACCTTCATTACTGGAACACAAGACAGGCTCTCAGACTCCAGTTAAAAAGTATAAGACAAGTCACCCTCAGAGTAAGTGGAAAAACTTATTTCTTACATGTAGTCTCAATAATAGTAAACTTAATATGAGTACAAAGGTCCAAGACGTTGGCGATCTTCACTGATAGAAGATTGTCATGCTACCAAATCCTTAAATTAAGCATGTTTAGGTGATGCCATTGTCTGTATATGTTATTGGAGGTAACATTCAAAACCAATGATCAAACAGACATTGTGAAATGAACTTTTTTAACTTGGATTAGCTTTGGTAGCATTGGTAAAATCTGACTTTTGAAAAATGGGCTGCACTGCATGTTTGATTCAAAACCAAAATTGACATGAAGACAAAGCACAAAGGGGTTCAAAACTTATTAGTCAACTAAATTCAGCTACCATTTTTTTAAAAATTTTCCATGGTGACCAAAATTGTTACTGCTTGGAGCAGTTACGTCTTGAGTGGAATTCTGCCACAGCATACATTGTCCTTTGTTTGGAATACACATGCATTTGCTGCACACACATAAGGTATACTAGTTATCAAAAAGGTAATGCACTGTGTTCTGAAAAAGGTTGCATGACTGTGTTCGTATTTTTCTTCTGGTCAAGGTTCCTCTGGCTGCTGGGCTTCATCAATGGAATACAGTAGGTTTCCTTGTACCCTGGCTGGTCAGACTCATGGAGGACCAAGTTATCAGATATGGCACTATGAAACAGAGGCTGCAGTTGGATGCAGGAACAGATTGATGAATTTAATTAGTTCTTTTTCTCTTTTTCATAGCTTGGGGAAAACCTGGAAGTCATGAAATTTATTCCACAGGTCAGTGTGGAGATTCTGCAGAGCCTGCAGTGAGACAGATCACAAGTGAATCTTCACTTCCCCCAGGTGAGCATGTAACAACAACACTAGCCTAAGGATGTGGCTTTA